GTTTTCTTTCAAAAGTTGCTTTTCTATTTTTTTTTCCATTTTTTCATTAAAAATTACTTATCTTACATATATGGGTGACATTTAATTGATCTCCACCTTGGAAGCTCCCACTGGAAAAACAGCTGAATATTAAAAGCAAGTGAAAACTGAAAGAAAATCATTGACTTGGGATGAAAAGCTAGTTAGCTTCCTCTGTGTGGGCACCTAAAGAAGCTATTTTTGTTTTTTTAATTTTAACTTGGAACAGTGAGGTATAAGAATTGAGTCAAGGCTGAAATACTGTATGTGCTGACAAATGACACTTTTGTTTATATGAAATACTTAAAAATATTCACAATACAGGTCATCTGGTTCATGCCCCTGTCTATTCATTATATTACCAAAGTGGCTTTTCACCCCACATGATTCTAGTTGACTTAGATTCTAGTTGACTTTGACCTAGCCTGGCCTGTTTGTTGTTTGTATAGCCTTGGATCAGGCTGGACAAATTTGGAGCCTGGCCGTAGAATAAAGTTCCATCATTTTCAGTTACTACTTTAGTCTCATAATAGAGAAATTTAAGACAGCTCAGTTAACAGCACCAAATTCTTGATCCTTCACCATTCCCCCAGGTAAATTAGGCAGGACTTCTTGATTGAAGTTGCATCTAGAATTAAGAATATGTGTAGCCTGTTACCATTCTGCAATTTTTTGTTTGGTGGGGGGAGGTGCCACCACCAGCTGTGTTCAGGGTTGTCTCCTGGTTCCTGACTCTGAAGTTAGGATGAAAAAGATGAGCTTTACTACTTTAATTGGCACTATTATGTGCTTATTTAAAAAAAAAAAAAGATGAGTTTCAATCTGATATTTTTTTTTTTGCCTCAGTTGTTTTGTTTTGGGGTGCAGGAGTGACACCTGATAGTGCTTAAGGGACCGTATATGTTGCTAGAGTCAGCTGCACATAAGTGTCTTATCTCCTGGTTTTGAAAGCATACTTCTTTAGCAAGTTTCCATACTCATTCCTCTAAAATTTCTCAACTAATTCACAGAGATGTGAACTTTTAGAGAACTCCTAAACAAACCAGGTTTTTCATAGGTATACCGAGTTCCCTGCATGCTTTGTGTAGGAACGTAAAGATGAAGGGTAGGTAATAATTGCTGGTAAGGTGCTTACCTTGCATGCAGCCAACCTGGATTTGATTCCCAGCACCCTGTATAATCCCTGATTCCCACCAGAAGTGATCCCTGAGTACAGAGCCAAAAGTGAGTCCAGAGCCAGGAGTAACACTGACACCCCCCAAAATTAAAAAAGTGAGAAAGGGTCACAGTCCTAAGTATATAATAGACAAAATGGCAAATCGAAAGTCTGGATCCCTTGTATTTGCGAAGTGACTCAGTGATAGGAAGACAAACTCAAGAGAATATGAAAAGTGGGGGTGAGAAGAGATCTAGAGAATGCTGGAGGGATGCTTGTGTGTATCAACATCGTAGTTCTGAAACAATACTATTGTGAAATCACGTTCCCTACATTTAGACAAACATGATAAGCATCTAAGTTTTACTAGCAAATAGTTGTTTTTTATACTTGGGTTTGGAAATGACATCCAGAGAAGTAAACACTAGACACCAGAACCTGTTTGGTGGATACCTTCAATAAGGAAGCTAACCTCTTGCTGTCCCTCTAAACTGTGTAGGGCCTTAAAACTACATACTTAGGGGATGGGGTGATAATACAGTGGGTAGGGCACTTGCCTTGTATGTGGCCAACAGATGTTCGATTCCTAGCACCCCAGATGGTTCCCTGAGCCCCATCAAGAGTAACCCCTGGACACAGAGCCGGAAGGCCTGAGCACAGCCAGGTATAGCTCAAAAAAAAAAAAACAAACACATATTCAGTTGGTGCTTTTATCAATTTTGGGTTTTGCACCATACCTGGAAATGCTCAGGTCACTCCTGGCAGAGCTCACGGGAGCAACCATATGGTGCTGGGGCTCAACCCCAGGTCGGCCATGCCCATTACACATTTCCAGCTCTACTGTCTCTAGCCCCTAGTCAGAGCTTTTACAGATGTTGCTCTAGGTCAATACCCACAGGCGTGAGGGTTGTTTTTTTTTAATGCAAGGCATTTGTTCCAGTTATTTGCCAAACAATACTGAAGAACAACACAGTTGGTGTATATAAGGGATTTTAAAAGCTGAGCTGAGGGCAATCAAAGCTGGGTTCCCTAAAAAACTTCCCAGTTCACTGGCTGTTCCACTAGTTACCACTCAGTTTTTTACTAGTCAGAGCTGGGTGTCAACAGACATAGAGGTCTCACTTGAAACTTCCTAGATCACTATTAGCCCCCCATTCTGGTTTTGTGGATAACTGAAAAAGGCCTGGCTGCACTGATGAGATCCCTCCAGAGCAGAGGTTGGAACAGGCAGAAGTTAGAACAGTGACCAAGATGTATGGAAAATTGGTTCGAATGAAAGCAAGAGTGGAAGTCACACCAGAGCAAGCCTTCCCACCTCAACCAAGCAGGTGTCCCTGAAGTTTAGGATTCAGGTAACCTAAGGTAACACTCATCTCTCAGCCCACTTTAGGACCTTGTCTTACTTTCCATTTTGGTTTTGGAGCCAGCAATACTCAGGGGTCGGGATCAAACCCAGGTCAGCCACACACAAGGCAAGTGCCCTACCTGTTGTATTATCTCTCTGGCCCCAACTTTCCAGTTAGGGGAGCAGCTCCTTCACAGGCTTTATTCGAATTCTATCTTCTTCCTGCCAGAAAAGCGTTGAAGCTGGAACACCCACTCCACCTGCCAGCAGCAAAAAGAGGTCAGTTTCCCAGCTGACCAACTTGGCCCAAAGCCCTAGCTAATCAGCATGATCCCAGACACTGGACATCTCTGCAGAAGGGATATGGGGGAAGGGGACAGCAAAATGCACTTTCTCAGACCAGGGTGGACAACACTAGTAAAAAGTAGAGAGCCCGGGGGCTGGAGCAACAGCACAGCGGGTAGAGCATTTGCCTTGCACGCAACCAACCAGGGTTCGATTCCCAGCATCCCATATGGTCCCCTGAGCACCGCCAGGGGTAATTCCTGAGTGCAGAGCCAGGAGTGACCCCTGTGCATTGCTGGGTGTGACCCCAAAAAGCAAAAAAAATAAAAAAGGTTGAGAGTCCTTTTTAGTCTTTAAATCTGTTTTAAGTTGCAAAGTATAGCTGGAGATAGTATAGCAGGCAGGGTGCTTTGTCATGCCTATGGCCAATCAGGTTCTATCCCCAGCACCACAAATGGTCCCATGAGCACCTCCAGGACTGATTCCTGAGCACATACATAGCCAGGAATAAGTCCTGAGCAACACCACATGTGGTCCAAATAAAAAGTTACAAAGGAAGACATAAGTCAGAACCTGATTGTACTAAACCAACAGATAAAACACATTTCTAAAAAGGTATTAAAAACACTAATGAGTTTTGTTCGTTTACTCATAGAATTTGTATTTTTATCAGCATGAATTATTGAAACTTTTTGAAAATTTGTATCATTTTTTTTCCCTAAAAGAACCTTGGTTATGTGGCCAGAGAGACAGTACAGAGATAAGGTACTTTCCTTACACAAGGCTGACCCTAGTTCCAGGCCTGCATAGGGGCCCTCTGCTGTCTGGCACAGGAGTAAATCTTTACTGAGCAGAACTAGGAATACGGTGTAGCCCAAAATACAAAGATCTTTGGTTTTTATCTAATTTATAGACATCAATCCCTAATGGAGGAAGAGCTCTTATTTGAAATAACCCATTACAACAAGGTAGAGCAAAAGCCACTGTAAACCGGAAAAATGAGACATCAATGTTATTCTCAGAATTCAGCTTTACCCATCAGAGATTTTAATGCCCGTAACCCAGACTAAGGGATTGGACTGGTCCAGGTCACACAATGATACCATTATGGAAAACCTAGCTTCTGGTCCCTAAATTGGTCTTGGGGAGCCAGCCAGGTGAGCTTTCATTCCTCTGGCATTTACTGGACACCTGCCCTGAGATCAGCATGTCGCAGAACTTCTAGCATCCACCTACCGCAAAAACTTTTCACTGGCTGGGTAGTAAGGTAGGGCTCCACTCACCTCATCTGAGGGGGCTTCCAGCACAGCAAAACAAAGGCTCTAGCTTCTTGCTGCACTCTGACCCTGCAGCGACACTACGATGAGTGCAGGGCACATGCTGGTCCCATTGCTATCTCAGGTTTTCACCACTAGGAGTGGGGAATGTAGTCACCATTGCTATGACTACATTTTTTTTTCTTTTTGGGTCACACCTGGCGATGTACAGGGGTTACTCCTGAGGGTGCTCAGGGGACCATATGGGAATCAAATACCCTACCTGCTGTGCTATCACTCCAGCCCTATGACTACATTCTAATGCTCTGTATCCTTATGGAAGGCAGGGCCACCAGCAAGAAAACAGCTATGCGAGACTTAAAATGCAGTTTGAGGAGCCTGAGAACTCAGCAGGCTGAGCACAAGCTTTGCATGCAGGAGGCCAGGATCAAATGCAAAATGTCACACACATACCTTCATCCTGAGCACCACCGGGTGTGACCAAAACATAAGACAACCTCGGTCTCCTGAAAACCTCCAAGTGTGGCCAAAAAAAAGGAAACCACTCTGGTAAGATTTCCAGATACCCTAGATCATCTCCTGAGCAGAGAGCCAGAGGCAAGCCCTGAGCAAGCCCTGTGTGTAGTCCAAAAAAACAAAACATGCAACTTGTCCCAGGTACCTTCACCTGGCGACTCCTGACAAAGGGAAAACCTATTATTTGAAGAGATTCATCCAGCAAACCCTGCAAAGAGGTTTCAAATACCTACTTAGAAGGTTGACATTGTTTAAGCCTGTTTCCCACTTTCAACATCTTCTCACCTTCACCTTCCCATATAAGCTCTGCCTTATCCACACAGCGGCCCTTCCCCTTTAAGGCTTGCTTCCTCCATTCTACTTAAAATCTAAGTAAGGAAAAATTGCACTTGAGAATGGATCGTCCATTTTATTTTATTTTATTTGTCATGTGCTCACAGCATCTCTTTTTTCTCCTCTCCCTGGCAGGTCACAGAGATAAATTAAAAATAAAATCTATGAGGAAAATAATTTATAAAAGCACTTCACAGGCTCATGCCTTCTATCCCTACTGCTGTTAGAATGTCCTCCCCCCCAAGGAAGTGTGTGGGGGGGGAGAAGCAGTGCTCCCCCTCCAGCTCACTCCCGCTAGTCTGGGACAGACTACTCCTGAGCCGGGTGAGGTGGTGGCAGCAGTGGCAGTTAAAAATAAAGACTGCAGTCCTGGAACCTTCTGGCTACCTTGGCACTCCCCTCTGTCTCCCCCAGGCAGTTCTCCAGGAGCCCTGGCTAAGCTGGGGCTGAGAGCCTGGGGGGTGGGGCGCTCTCAGTCCCTCTTACATACATGCACTTCTCATTCTCCTACGAAGAAACCCAAAAAAGAAAGCAGACAGAGACCTCAGGACAGAGGAGGAAATCCCAAGTGTTCACACAGTTACACGGAGTCTTTATGGCAAAGAGAACATTTAGCAGCTTTGAATATTGGGGTATCTCCTTTTACTCAACACAAGCATTCTATACCCTATAAGTGAAACAGGGCTCAAGCCCTAAAAAAATCAAAGCGCAAGAAACTCTAAGAGGACTAGTTTTTTTGTTGCTGGGTTTTGTAGTTTTGTGTTTCCAGTGACAAGCCCAGTTGTTGGTAGGGGGGCCTGCGGGGTCTCTCCCCAGTGTTGTGCTGAATACTGCCTGGCTTCTCCCTCTCACTTCCCTGCCCTACAGCAGCCCCCAGAAGAGGAAGGCCATAGGGCCCAGCACTGGGGGCACTGCCAGCTCCAGTGGGCGCGGTGAGGGCCGGGGAAGGGAGGCCTGGATGGGCAGCAGAGAACAGCGTTTGCATGCAGGCTCTGATGGAGACCTGGGAGCCTCAGCTCAGGGACATGGGTGCAGAGGGAGATGGAGGCAGGGCAGCTGGGTGACATGCTCGTGGGGCTGTGGCAACACAGGGCTGCATGACCCTTTCCTGTCCACCCGACCCTTTGACGCCCACCCTCCAGCCAGCATTGGGTTCCAGGGGCTCTCCTCTGATGGCAACATTAAGTACAGAAGAGCTAAGAGCTCCTTCCATGGGTACCAAAGTGCAGGGAACAGAAAGTGTCACAAAACCTTGCCCAATCCCACCTATCCTTGTCTGAATACCAACCCTCACCAGGGTGGGGAAGTGGGGTTTACTCACTCGGATGATCTAGTCCCACCTTAAAACCTGCCGCCTGGAATCCTGGCCAAAGACAATCTTAATCTACCCTTCGATTTCTTCCCGCTTTGATTTTTTTGGGTTTTTTTTTCTTCCTTACTTCGTTCATTCCTATGTCCATCCATGCAGGAAGGAGCCTTTCTACTTTCCTCTCCTCTCATAAGACCCATCTTTCTCCTCTGCTGGCCTCCAGCAATGCCAGTACCACCCCTTCCCTAGAAGGAAAGGGGGAGGGGGAGGACCCTGTCCACCCAGCCTGGCCATTCTCACCACCCCTAATGGGGGAAGCTGAGCCAGACAGCGCCTGCGCCTGCCTCTTCCTCTCCACTGACCCGCAGTCATCCCCTCTGAGAAGATCTATTGGATAAGAAGGCATTAAAGTCCCCGCTGTAGGTCCAGGTCCAGGCCCAGCCCTTCTCCAGTTTCCATCTTGGTGAGCGTCAACCCCCCTTCCTCCTGGGCTCACTTTCTCCTGTCCTTTGGCTTCCTCTCCTGCCGCCGGGCCTGCTGGTCAGCCAGGGTGCGGGGAATGAGGAGGACGCTGCCATCCCCGGCGTACTGGAGTGCATACTGACTGGGTGAGTAGGGACGCCCGTTCTCATCCCGCAGCCGCCCAAACACCTCTTGGTAGAGACTCTGGACCTTCTGCTTCATCTGCCGTAGGGACCGGAGAAACTCCACCTTCTCCCGCAGCAGCCGGGCTTTATCACGCTGCAGATCCTCCACATCCCGCTCCAGGTTCAGAATGGTGTCCAGCTTGCGCTTGCGGCAATTCTGTGCTGCCATCTTATTCTTCCCCCGGCGCCGGATGTCACGGATGAGGCTGAGCTGGGCTTCACTCAGCTGGTATTTGGACAGCAGCTCATTAAACTCCTCCACAGGCAGGTTGATGATTTTGTCATTGGTGAAAGGAATCTTCATGGCTCGGGCTCGATGCTCATCCCGGCTCATCTGCTTGTCCAGAAAGTCAGCCTGCTTCTCCTTGCTGCCTTTCTTGAGCGTGCTGGGTGGTGGCAGGTCGGCAGAATCAAGGGCACTGGGCGCCATGTTGTACGTGTGGTTGTGGCCCACATGCTCCAGGTAGGGCAGGCAGGAGAGCTGGGACGGATCCTGGTAGCTCATGCGGCAGAACTTAGAATACTCGGGCTGGTAGCCTACAGCGCCCTCAGCCTCTTCCAGATCCAAGGTCTCAGAGTCAGAACTATAGCCAACAGCACCTTCCTCAGAAAAGGAGGAAGAGGCTGAGGAAGAAGTAGAAGAGGAGGAAGAGGAGGAGGAGGAAGAGGAGGAGGAAGAGCTGCCCTCAGAGCTGCTCAGAGAGGAAGGACTATGGCTGGAGTCCAAGGAGAGGCCTGAGTCAGAATCAAACTCCTCTTCAAGCTGCGAGGCCTGCACGGGATTAAAGCCTTCTTCAATGGCTAGGTCCATCAGGCTGATCTCATCCAGCATGGCTTCATCTAACAGACCCCCCAGGGGGTCAGGCAGCTCAGGGCCTGCTGTGTCATTGGCTGTGCCGTTGAGCTGGGGCGGAAAGAAGAGCCCCGCCAGGTTGGTGGAGCCAAATGTAGAGTTGAGGCTGGTGGAATTGCTGGGGACCAGCGGAAGAAGTGTGGAGCTGCTGGCCACAGGCAGGCTCTCCACCTCAGGGCTAAAGAGTGAGAAGTCCTGGCTGCAGCCCCCCAGGGATGCCTGATGCAGGCTGACATTCTGATTGATGGGAGTGTTGGGGGCAAGGCTGTAGTTGGTGCTCAGTGGGTCTGCAGGAGGGGCACTGTACAGGATCTCACTTGTGGATGTATTCACCTCCATGGCCTGTGAGGGGAGAAGAGCATCACCATTCACTTGGAGCAGACTCCCACAGCAGCTGGGGCGGGGGCTCACACCAGCGCATAGAGGACACTGATATATGCCAAGTGCTAAAACCAGAGCACACAGCATTAGCGTCTGACCCTGTCTGATGCATCAGATCAGGCACTGATGGGCTCCTTCCAACGGACTCCACCCCAGAGCAGGACTGGCCATGTTAGGCCAGACTCCGGTATCACGGAGGGAGAGAAGGAAAACACCTAATGCTATCTCTCCAGCACAGTAGCAGCACAGGAAAAGCACACCAGGCCACCCTGCTATGTCAGCGGGCACATTAGTCAACCTCAATTACCTGAGTGTTAAAATAACGGGGCCCAGAGATATAGTACAGGGGTTAAGGTGCTTCTCTTGCACCTGGCCAACCAGAGTTAGATCCTTGGCACTGCATATGGCCATGACCAGGAGTGATCTTGGTCACAGAGCCAAGAATAAATCCTGAGCGCACACACACACACAAAAAAAATTTAAATAAAATAACAAAGAGGCTAAGCCAGAGAGGCACCTCAACAAGCTTAGCACGCAGGCCTAGCTGAATCCTCTGGTTCCAACATACGGTTCTCAAAGTACTGCCTCGGCAACCTCAAAGCAGAGCCAAGAACAGCCCCTTGACATCATGAATGACCAACCCCTCACCACCAAATAATATAACATAGGGCAAAGAGAGACGATGACAACTATAGCTATAAAGCACTGCAGGAACGGCCCTTTTATTAATGCTAACCCTTGGAAGGATCTGGCCGAGTATCTGTCTGAAGGAAAGACGATGCAGCCAAAGTAGCAGGCCAGCTGGATTTAGCCCACATCCCACCCAACCACTCTCTACATCACTACCATGTTGCCCAAGGAGACACCTCGGTAGGTTACCTCTCAAGGTTCCCACCTTCCTACATGGACCAGACAAACAGGGATTCTTTCTCTTTCAGATCTAGAGGAGCAATGGCTAGTCAAGCCACAAAGCCCCATTCAGACCATCCTACCTGCATTTCCATGATGGACATAAGATCTTGCCACTGCTGTTCCAAATCAAATGGCGACTCTGTCCCCGTCAGGAGAGGAGACAAGAGGTTGTTCTGAAGACCCGGGGGCTCACTCTCACGAGGCACTGCTTCTGTTATGCTGGAAATGTCTGCTGGAAACTAGGGTAAAAACAGAAAATAAGCTTTAACAAAGAAGAAAATGCCACCAGCTTTACGCCCAGAGACTATCGCAGGATGTTCTGTTCCTTCCTTCCTCTAAATTCACCCCTGGTAGCCAGGTTACAAGACCAGCAGCAAGAACAGGCCCCATCCACTGGCAAAGTGGGCTCTTTCTGGCGTCCTGCTCACCTCAGCATTCTCCCCAGAGGGGCAGGTAGCCTCCAGCAGCCAAAGGCACTCTTCCAGGCACAGGGCTATCTGGTGCTCCCTATCAGCACTTGTGATTACAGCTACTGTAAGTCTGACTGACCAGGGCCCTGAGTGTTACGGGCTGGAGTCTCTCTACGGGCAGCTGAAGCAGGACCTGCTTGCCTGCAGACCTGCCCTCTCCCTCTATTCCTGGGTTAACAGCCAGCCCTGTGACCAATTTTAGGGGTGAACACCAAGAAAGTGAAAGCTTCCCAACATAAGCAGGCAGTCTCTAGATATTTTACCTCCTTTATGCGGATTCCTAGCTCCTTTTCTTCTGCTGTTTCTCTACTTCCCCTTCCTCAGCCCACCCAGCCCCCTATCCAGATGAGTAAGATTTACTCCAAAAGACACAATCTGCCTTCTTTCTCTAAGGAGAAGTTTCTGGAAACAAGAAGTAGTAGTACCTGTGCAGGGAAGCTCTCCCCGGTTTCTCCATCCACTAGCAGGTTTCGTGCCAGAGCTTCTGCACCCTCTCCTGGCCAGGTGTCCTCCTGCTCTGTGCCATCTCGCAACTCCTTATCCACATCCTGCTCCTTCTGGCGGTGACTATAATCAAAAATCTCACGCCCAGCTCCTAAATCAATATCCTGTCGCCAAAGGATGTCAATCAGATCTATATCCTGAAAGACAGATTATTAACTTTAGCTCTTGGTCTTGGGGCCCATCCTGTCCAATTCCTCAGAGGGTCCTGTAATCTTAAGGACCACCCAGCCCTACACCTAAGCTTTTTTCCATCCATATGCCAATAAGAGTCTCCCTAGAAAAGGAGCTAGAAAGAAAACACTAATGCGACTATCACTTAACAAATCCATGGGTTGGGGCTCTGGACCAGGGTTACCAAGCCAAAATGCCAAGCCACCCTTACCCCTTCAGAAGGGGGCAGGGAAAGCAGAAGACACTTTCATTTCGGTAATGGGATTCCCTAACTTGCTTTGGAGAAGGCTGGATATGGCAAGCAAGGGCGAACTGCCATGCAGAATTGCTCTGAGGTGGCCAGGCTTGCATCAGCCTTTGGTGCCATTCATTTGCATAAAGGGGTGGGCTGGGCTGGAGAGGAAAATCCCTGCATTTGCAACCACCTGATGCAACCAATGACAACCACCAGAACAGCGGTCTTCAGCCCTTCCCAGTCATTCCCCAACTGCCGCTGATGGCAGGAGTAAGGGCTGAACACCCACAACTCTTAAAAACCCAGGCTCACCTCCTGATCCATGCCTGCCAGAATCCCCACTCTCAGCTGATCCTAGTAAGCTGCCCTGATCCCAGGAGAGCCTCAGGCAGTCAGATGATTCTCAGCCGGCACCCCACCCTTGCCAAGGCCAGCCCAACCGTGTCCCCTCACACGCGTGCTCTCACTGCTTTCCCTACCACACCCCAGGGCTCACTAACTCCCATCAGTCAACCCACTCAAAGACAGAGCCCCTGACACAGCTCACAAATGTCGCCCCTGGCACCAAAATGCCTTTTTTTGCATTCCCTCCCTCTCTACTCTGGTGGTCTGACCAGTTCCCATACCAACTGTCGCCACCACCCCTGCCACCAACATTGAACCCAGTAAGTAAGACCCCTCCCAGCTTGCTACACACACTGTTCCCCATGGAAAAGTCCTATCTACTGCCTTCCCTTTGGGGGTTAAAAAGCAGGCACTTTTCGGAAAGCAGTCTCCTTGGATTATCCCCACCCCACTCGCCCTTACCAGGGCTCCCTTTCCCACCACAGCCACCCCGGTCCTAAGACCTCCCGGGGGTACCTCTCCCGTTAGTCTCCCCAGACACCCACCTGAACAGAAGCCCTGGACCCAGCAGAGGGGGGCTGGGCCACCCGGTGACCAGCCAGCAAAGAGTTAAGGGGCCGGCTCCCTTTGGCTGGGCCCCCACCACTGTGAGAGCTGCGGTCCAGGCGGGTCATGGTCTGTGAGAAGAGCCCCAGGGCAGCCGGTGCCGGGAAGCCGGACAGGGGGCTGCAAGGAGCTCTTGGCTTGCAGGGAGCACACCAGGCTGGAAGGGTGGCCCCTTGCTAGCTCTGGGGGCCCTAGGAGGGTGCCCCGCCCGTACTGCTGCCTGGGCGGCCCAGCCCAGCCCCCTTTCTCCATCCTTGAGCAGCCCCCTCCCACCTCACAACCCCAGTTCCACTCAGGCACCCGGCAGCCCCCACCCTGAGCTCACCGCAGAGGCTGCAGTGAGATGGGACTCCCACCCCATGCTCCGTGCTCAACCTGCAAAGGAAAGCAAGCTCCCTCCTGGCCTATCCTCCCGCTCCTCCCTTTCTCCCCCTCCCCACGCCCCCCAAACTTGTTACCTAGGCTGCAGCGGGGAGCCAATCCCCTCCCCCTCCCACCCCGCAGGTCACTGCTGAGGCTGCAGAGAGCCAATCCCCTCCCCCAGGTCAGCAGCTGGGCTGCGGAAAGAGCCAATCCCCACCCACTGTCGTTACCTAGGCTGCAATGAGAGCCAATCTCCTCCCCCAAGTCTCCGCTGGAGATGCGGAAGGAGCCAATCCCCTCCCACCGCCTGTTACCTAGCTGCAGCCGGGAGCCAATCTCTGCACCAGGGCAGCTGGAGAAGCTGCCGCAAGGAACGGCCCATCCCTGGGCCGCCTCCGTCTCCTCAAGGAGACGCACCCAGGGGCGGGCGGCCCCACCCAACCCAGTCAGCCAGTCGGGGTGGCGCAGTGAAGAGAGCCCTGGGGGAAGGGGTGCCACTCTGCCTCCTGTCGCATCCTGCTTTCCCAGCCCACTCAGGGGCTGGCCAGACACTCTGCAGCTTCTCCGGGAATCTAAGTTCTTCTCTGGAAGTGGAAGTTTTCCTGATCCTCATGAGGATACGGAAAGCCTTCCTCAAACCCAAGGATCACAAGCCAAGCAGAACAGAACCCCAGTGGTAGTACATTGTGAACCAGAGCTTGGTACCCTACAAAAGCCAGACCAAGAGGCAGAAGAAAACCATTTGCACAGACTCAGTGAAATCAGGCACAAGCCAGGCCTACCGCAGGGAAGAGAAGGGAGACCCGAAGGCCAGCACTGAAGCAGACAGGCACTCTGCAGACGCGACCACGAACAAGTACCCCACCCCTTGGCCACAAACCAGACCATCCCAATCCTTCTAGACTTTCTGCTTGACCCTTGAACCACATCTCAAAGCAGGAAAGAAGCCTCAGCTGGAATCAGCACCCCCATTTCAACTCCCTTTTCGCTGCCGCTCCCCTTGAACCTAAGGTCAAGTCAGGACCTGTGTGTTCTCCTTGGTCCTCTCTGCTCGCCTAGAAAGAACCGCCTAGAAAGAACTGTTCATAGGCCACCCCCCTGCTCTGGGCAGAGTGCCATCCTCGAGGGGAATCCTATCCCTAACAAGAGCTTGGGCTATGGCTGTCCATTGAACAGGCCTGGCAGCAGGGGAGCGCTGCCACCCCAGGGATAATATCAGCTCCAGCAGTGCCTGTCACATGCTCTGGACCTGGGTATTTTTATCCCTGAGTTGCTGAGGAAATGTTCTAGACACACATTAATCTTTCCTCCCTCCACATTCGGCCTAGGCCCCTAATGCTGACCCACCCACAGCCCCCACAGGGACAGTGAGAGCGTGGGGTCAGGGAACACACCCCCCCCCCCACTTGAAGGCTAAGAAACGAAGGAGGATAAGGCCAAAATCCATCTCTTTCTTGCCCAACCTTCTAATTATATCCCAAACTTCACCTCCTAATCCATCCCACCTTGGGGAGAACTCCCGGCAGGAAAGGAATGAAGCTGCCTGTATAGGGTTCCCAGGGGAAAACCCAATTACACTCAGCCCTTGGGGAGCTCCCAGTGGGGCTCAGGATGGGAGTGGAGGCTGGGATAGTGGCATTAATCTTCAGGCCACAGTGCCATGAGCACCTACTTGAAAGGAAAGGACAGAGGAGGCTGAAGAGTGGTAAGGAAGCTAAAAAAAAACACTGAAAGTTAAGGAATGCTTGCCTTAATTAAAGTTAAGACAGATAATTCTCGTCTCTCAAACTATGAGCATATAAAGCTACTGCTAGTACTGTTGCTTCTTATCTTTTGGGGGGGTTGTCCTGTACTTTATGGATGTTCAGCAGCATTCCTGGTGTCTCCCCACTAGCATGAGAGCACACGCACAAACACACTGCCACATGACCCGCAGAAAACAGATGCACAATCGTCTTCACTTGATAACTGCTGTTTAAGAGAAAGTCACATAAGCTCACAGTCACTTATGTTTGGAAAATTAAGATACAGAATGAACCAAATGCAGGAAGGGAAACAAAACCCAGTCTGACTAGTGAGTAGTCAAATTCTAGACAAACAATAGTCCTACCTTCCCCCACACCCAGCCTGGGCCCCAATGCTCACCCACCCACAGCCCCCACAGGGATAGTGAGGGCATGGGGTCAGGGAACACTAGTGGCATCTAGAAAACTTTTCACATACCTTCTTATCGCCCTCCCCAAACCCTTCTCCCTGACTCAGCTTTGGAAAACCCAGTCGAGAGATCCAGTTGTCTCTTTCCCAAATGGGAAAAAGAGTTGAGTGGGCTTTTTCAAGCTCCTTAAGGCTGAGTGACATGCCAAGGCCGGAGAAATACAGATCTCAGAGCAGTCTTATATAGGTGGGCTGGGCGCAGCAGAAGTCATTCACGCTGTTAAAGGCAATCGAATCATTTTCCACCCGGAACTGTATGTCAACCACAGGTCAGGTGCCAACGACCTCTGACAGCTCAGAGCCAGCTGACTTCGGCCACACAATGCAGCTTTCCTGCTAGCTCCCAGCTCTCCTCCAAACACCCTGTAGTGGGCCTTGAGCAGAGAATGGGAGCCTCAGTCCTCTCCTGGCCAAGAATAACTATTTAAATCTACCCCTTGGCTCAGGCCCAAGAGAGCAGACTTATTAGGCCCTCATAACAACAACAGGCCGACCACAAAGGAGGAGAAGTCAGGATATGTATGTGTTTTGATGTAGGGAGAGCTACAAGGCAAGAGTCCACAAAGTATTTGTGTCTTAGCAACAGATACACACCGCATCAAAGCCCATCATAACATGATCCCTCCCCCATACCAGGAGTCATGTTGAAATCAAGCAGTAAACACACTGGCATGTTCGAGGAACCTCCCACTGCCCCGACAGTCCATTTAGAGGTGGGTCAATGGTTCAACACAATGAAATTCTCCCAACCCCAATCAGAGTCAGACAATTTAGCCCCATTTCTATCTATTAGCAATGCAACCCACCTCGAACTTCTCTGGTTCTTTAGAGATAGCGCAGCCCTTGAAGATCAGCCCACCATTCCCCAATCCCAGACCCCTCCCACCCACCCCTCCAGGTGCCCACTAACCTCTTTGGTTAAGTCTCCACTGACTGGAGGGGCTACAGCCCCCAAATCCTCCAAATCTTCACTGAATCCCTGCTCCGTTTCGCTTTCTCGCACCCCGTTGTCTGGGCCTGTCACATCCTGGAGGCCACTGGAACTTTCGAGGGCCAGGCCTGAGCTGGGCTGGCTGCCAGAGACAGACCCCTCCGGATCCCGATGGACCAGCCAGGCGTTCACCTCAGTGGTTGGCACCTGGAACCTGTCCAGGGCCCTCACCTGACTGAGGAGTCGCCGGGCAGTGAAGTAATTGTCCAGGTCTATGCTCTTGGGGTGGATACCATAGCCATCCAAGGTATTCCTCAGGTTGTGGAACTGAGTTTGAGTATAGGCAGAACTGGGCCCCAGGATGATCTCCCGGAGTGGGGGGAGCTGTGAGGTCAGGTAAGTATCCACGTCCACCCGCACCCCAATCAAACTCAGCAGAATGGTGAACTGGAGGAGTCCTTCCGTTAAGTATTTCTTCAGAGAAAGCATTGCTGAAGGACCAGAATGTTTATGCTTTTTGGTTTTTAAATCTTCCAAAAGACAAATCAAGGCCACTGCTCTGCTGCTCCAGCCAGCAAGTTACCCTCCTCAGTGCCAAACCCTGTACCCTACCCTGGCAGAACACAGGGGTTGAGCTCCCTGATGGCCTTGGAGGGAAAGCACACCCCGTGGAGCCAAGGCCACACTCCAGACCACATTCACTTTTCCCTTCTTGACACCTCACCTCTATAAGTACAACTCTTCCTAACCCAGTCCAGGCCCCGAGGGCCCACGTGACTTACTGTCTCCACAGTCCACATACAGTCACTTCCTCACTCACATCGGTTGTCTCTGTAGATTCCACTGAAGGCTGTTCTCAGGAACAGCTGATGATATTTTTTTTGTTTTGTTTTGTTTTCCTTTCTCCCTCCTAAGGTTTATGTTCTTTGGCTGGAGCTACAGGCCTTTTGTCTTGGGTCAGAGTGTCCCGCCTCCTCCACACTTACCAGGGGGGTTTCCCGAGAAACCTAAAATGGAATCACAAGAGCAACAAAGTAAGATTTCACCATTTTCTCACTATAAACATGGCAGAAGGCAGAATACATTTAAAACAACATTTTTAGGTAAGGAAAAGTAACTATGCTACCTCCCCCACCCAAAAAAAGCCCATCATTTAATTAATATATATATATGAGCTGACAGTCCTTACCAAAAAAATAAACAACTGACATTTGTAACTCCCTACAAGGTAGCTTATTTTAATTAAGACCATAATACCCAGGGCATCTGAAATATTTCCATGTTGTCTGATTTACCAACCCTCCCCCAGCCCATACACACACTACCCAGCTTCTATTTTTAGCGTGAGAAGTTCCTATCCCATCTTAAAGTAGCTGGTTTCCCATCTCTCAGGAGAAAACTGCCTTGTCCCCTTCCAGTTCTAGAAGGGAGGGACTGTTAATGGGTGAGAGTGTAAAAAGACCAGCGGAGAAGTTGGGTCACCCTTTCACTGCAAAGAATGCCTTTTGTTTTCCCAAGGTAGAACTCTCCGTATTTCCCTTTTCCTAACCAACGGCACACGGAAAGCGGGGAAGGATGATAGAGGGCTGGAGAATGGAGGGGGTTTGGGGGGTGGGGGGCGCGGGGCCGAAGAATCCTCTAGAATTTGCATAGGCAGGTTTTAGTTTCATTCATTTGACCTTCGGAGCCTAAGCAAAGCCGGAGAGGGCCAAATTTTCAACCGAGAGAGCCAGGTGGGGCGAGGGGAAATCTGCCTTGCTTTCAGTTTCGGGGCTCGCCTCTTCAGCGGCGTTCACCTCAAACGCCCGGCCTCGGTCCTCTCCTCGCGACTGCTGTCCCCCACCTACCCACTGGCCCCCGACGGGATACACGCACACGCACACATACTGAGCAAACGCCAGGGTGACCCCAGATTCCTCACACTAACCCTGCGTTCCCCGGCAACTCCATTACCAACACCTCCCAAGAGCTACCAAAGTTCGTGGAACCGGCCAAGGGCTCCGAGTGCTCCGGTAAGGCCAGAAGCCGCCCGCCCCGCCCCAGGTACCCGAGTCCGACTGGGACCAAGTCGCCATGCCCGCTCTCGGCGCCTCGGCTTCTAGCCTTCTGGGGCGACAGCGAACAAGTGCTACTTCCCCGGCCTCGACCCACCCTTGCGGCCAAACCCCACCCCGCCCTCCGTCCCCGTGGCCCCACCCCGCTCCCAAGCCCGGCCTAACACCACGCCTTCCCGGTGCCCTCAGCCCTCCCCGGTCCAACCCAGCCCCGAGCCGGCTTCCCGACGGCCGCGCAGCCCCTCCCTGCCAGCCGCAGGGCCCAGCCCCGACGCGAATCCCGCTCGGCCGCCCGCTCCCGCCTCCTGCCCCTCAGCTCCACCCCGCCACCCCTCACCCCACGGGCCTCGGCCCCGCAACGCGGCGCCCCTCCCCGTCACGGATAGGAATGTGCCTGATACCCGCGGCTGAGCTTGGCGTCCGCCGCTGCCGCCACAGCAGGCCCTCAGCCCGAGTCCCGGCCTTGCCGCCGCCACCGCCGGCCGGCCTAGAGCGCCCCAGCCTCCGCTTCCCTCCCCGCCCCCTCCTCCCACCTCCCTCGGAAGCCCGCCCCGCGCGGCCTCCCAGGAACACGTTCCTCCAATCAACGAGTCAGGACTGTCGTCGGCGCCGGACGTCGCCTTGACTGACGGCTGAGAGGACCCAATGGCTAACTACGTCTCCTCCTCCCTCTCCGGAGTTCCCGAGATTGACGTGACCTCTCGCCCAATGGCTGCGTGGCCCCGCCCCGCGGCCTGGGCCCACCAATAAGCGGAGGGACGGCTCTGTCGCCCAGCATTCTGGACCTCTCCGCCTTTCCGCGGCCGTTGGCGGTATTGCTGGTTGGGCGCGGAGCAGAGTATGGCCAGTGCTGTTTTCCGGCTGGAGAACAGAGGCATAAGGCAAGGGGTGGGACACGCTTTCGCCGTCGGAACGACGCATCTTTCCCCCGCATCAGGGTACCCAAGGTGACTTGCAAAAGTCCAGCAAGACCCTACGGGGCCGAGGCGCGACCCGGAGCATGTGTCTCATTTTATGGTGACGCTCGAGCTGCCATCTTGGATGCTGGTAGCGGAAACGAGTGTAGCAACTTCCGCCTCGTGCAGGTCTGGCGCAGCGGGTCTGCGACGGGTTAACCAGGTTTTCCTGACGAGGTTCACGCCGCAGCAACATCTTCCTGATTCCGTTGGCGATATGTGGCGTTATTCTCGATTTTTGCCCAGATACATGCACACTTAAGAGTTCTCTCTCTGCTCTCACCCAGCCCTACTTCCCAGCTCGCCTTTCAGGAGCCCAACATAGCCTTGTGACTGAAATATTACCCACCACATCACTTAGAAACCTGTTGAGCTTGCCCATTCTGAGGCCCAGAACAGGCCCAGAACAGCCATTCTGATTCACTTGTCCCGGGGTGGCATCCTGATAAGCTGGTTATTAAACGAATTAGGTCAGTTTCATGCAGCTGGTCACCAGACCTTATGTAGACAAACACTGAATTTTGTTTATTTTTATTTTTCTTTTTGTTTTGGGGGGGTCACACCCGGCGATGCTCAGGGGTTTCTCCTGGCTTTGCACTCAGGAGTTACTCCTTGTGGTGTTCAGGGGACTATATGGGATACTGGGAATCGAACCTGGGTCGACCGCGTGCAATGCAAACACCCTACCCACTGTGCTATTGCTCCAGCCTCAAACACTGAATTTTGAAGGCAGGCATTCCCAGCTGCGGAGCAAAGGGCATCCACTCAAATTCTTGGGGAAAAAAAAAGCTTCCTACTGTAGGTCAAAGCTAGTGATAGTTCATTAGATAACTTCAAACCTGTCTTCTTGAAAAATGTGGTTGGAAGCCGCATTTTGGGATAGTTTAGAAATTATCAAACTCTTTCACATAATATACAGCAGCACCAGTTCATAATATCCTTGCAAAACTACAAAGCTAGTATCCTTTTCAAAGACTACTTGAGAGAACATATCTTACTCGTTTTGCTGTTTATCTTCCAGAAAATGCTAGAATTAACTCTTTAAAAGGTCCAGAATTTTGTGTATTAACTCTTGAGTCTTCAAAACCTACAATGGTGCCTGAAACTTAGACACTTATTAGAGGCTAAATAATTAAAGGGGAACTCATCTGCAGACAAGTCTGTTAATTAGGGTTCTTGTTAAAAGAAGGAAATAATAGTTGGAGGAGGTCTGGTTTTGAAGAATATGTTACTGAGGAAATGAGGTCATTCCATCCCTGAATTAATACATCATAAAGGTAAATAATGCTTTCCTATAAGAAGGGAAGAGAAGGCTTGGAGAGAGAGAGAGAGAGAGAGTGCAGTGGTTAAATCGTTCACCTTTCCTGCAGCCAGCTGACCCAGTTAAATTCCCACACCCCATATGGTTCCCCCAAACCCTGTCAGAAGTGACCCCCAAGCACAGAGCCAGGAGTAATCCCTGAATATGGCCAGTTGTGGTCCAAAAATAAAAAAGGAGAAATAGAAATAAAAATGTAATTATTTACTAAAAATAGATCAAGAGAGACCCAGAGATAGTATAGGGTTTAAATGGCTGACCTTGCATGCTGCAAACCCTGGATTTCTGGCACCACATGAGTCTCTCTTCACCCAGTAGGCAACCCCCAAATACAGAACCCAGAGCAAGAGTTGCCCTTGATACAGTACTGTTGAGTGTGTCTTACCCCCCCATATATAAACAAATACATATACATATATATAACAATATATACAAATATATGTATACATAACACATACACTATATATTGATATATATGTACGCATACATACACTCCAAGAGAGGAGGTAGCAGGATGTGAATCAAATGGTAGAGTGTATATCTTGCATGTGAAATCCTGGGTTCAGTCCCCAGCACTACATGTCACCTCATTTAGATCTAGCACTGCTAGGAGAAGCTCTGAATGCCAGAGTACTATTTGGTATGGCCCTCTACAATGAAAAAAAAGATCTCACATGGGGATTGAGAAATACTTAAAAACATAGAACTAAAAGATACCAACTCTAGACTAAAGCTACAGGGCTTAACTACAAGCCTATTTTGAGCAGGCAGAGGAGATTGTAAACTGGAATGGTCATTTTGTTTGACACAGCAAATACAGGACAATTTTAAACCTTGACACAGTTTCTAAAAAAATCAGCTGGGCAATCCTTTATCTATATGACCTTGGCGCCAATAAAATGGAGCATTTTTGGACAAGTCCATAACCGAGTTTCTTTTTGATGGGCGCTGCAGGCTGTCAGGTGCCTGGGGTAGAAATAAAATCATATAGTACATAGAGGACTGCCATTAAAAATAAGACAAAGAGTCATAGAAATGAAACAATAACTAGATAGACCACACAGGAGAGATAAAATTTGATACTGTTACATGATTTTGCTACATTATTTTGTGGGGGGGTTATTTTGTTTTGAGGTCACACCCAACAGTGCTCATGACTTATTCCTGACTCTGTGCTCAGGAATTACTCCTGCTAGGGCTCAAGGGACCATATTGGGTCCTGGGGATGGAACCTAGGCTGGCTGTAGGTAAGGCAAGCACCCTACCTGGTATACTAGCACTCTAGCCCTGCTACATTAAAGCCTCAATTCATTGGGTGACTTATTTAAATGACCCGTGAGTACTTGAGAGAGCACTCCTACCCATCTTTTCCTTTCCCTTCTCACCAGTGTCTCTGGGGCAGAGGGAACGGGAGACACTGAGTGCAGGCCGGGCTGCTTGTAAATCCTCAGAGAAGAGGTGGGAGAGAGGAGCCTTGGAGAAGATGGCCTAGGAGGCGCAGTGTGGAGAAAACTTCGGGAGTTTTGTTTGAGGAGATATTTGGGGGCCATTCCCAGTGGTATTCAGGGCTTTCTTCTGACTCAGTGTTCAAGGATCACTCCTGGCAGTGCTCAGAGAACCAGAGATCAAACTGGGTCAGCCTTATGCAAGACAAGGTCCTTCTTCTCTCTCTCTCTTTTTTTTTTTTTTTTACTTTTTGGGTAGCACCCAGCAATGCTCAGGGGTTACTCCTGCCAGTGCTCAGGGGACCGTATGGGATGCTGGAGATCAAATCCAGGTTGGCCATGTGCAAGGCAAATGCCTTCTTCACTGTACTCTCGCTCTGACCCCTATAAATCTTGCTTTTACCTGCACTGTTGTGCTCATTTCCTTTTGCCTCCCTTTCGGAGAGCCCGGCAAGCTATCGAGAGTATCCTGCCCGCTTGGCAGAGCCTGGCAAGCTCCCCGTGATGTATTTGATATGCCAGAAACAGTAACAAGTCTCACAATGGAGACATTACTGTTGCCCACTTATGCAAATTGATGAGCAACGGGAAGACAGTAACAGTAACAGTAACAGTAACAGTAACAGTAACAGTAACAGTAACAGTAACAGTAACAGACAGTGGAAAAGAGATAGAAGGAGAACTGTGTTTGAGGTATGAGGTATGATGGTTTGAGGTATGATGAGGGGTAGTTAGAAAGTGTCCAACTTAACATTATGCAAAAGTGAAAAGAAATAAAGGGTAGGCAAAAGAGATAGTACAGTGGATAAACTGCCTTGCACACAGTTGACCCAGACTCAGTCCCCAGCACCACATACGGTCCCCTGCTTCCCCCTGGGAGTGATCACTGATCACAGCCAGGTGTAAATTCCTGAGCACAGCTGGATGTAGCCCAATAGGAGAAAACAAAGCCAAGCTGGCCTGTTGCGAGTGGTCCCATCTTAGCAGGGTGTGGACAGCACATATTACACTTCATATTTTGTGTCAAGATGTGGAGATTGAAAGCCTCCAGGTCAAGTCTGAACCAGTGCAAACTTTTTCAGAACCCACTGTTTAACCTATAAAACCCAGGGTGTGTCCTCCTTCACCTCCTGCCTTCTTTGACTTGACACCCCACCTCCACCCCCAATCCTGTTGCTGAAGACAGCTGTTAAAAGGACAGTCACTGGGGAAACAAAAGAAAATCCCATGCTGATGATGTGTCATCAGTCCTGGTATCACCATTAAATCAGACGGAGATCTGAGACCATTGGAAAAAGTGAGCGCAAGGACTCACTCCCTAAGGGAGAGGCTGAGAACCGTCAGGAAACCAGGCCTTGCTCAGGCAAGTCCAGGTGCTAGGAAAGAAAAAGCTGCAGGAAGCCAGACTTCAAATGCTCAGAGATTCGCGGTGATTTCAAAAAAAGAGTCACGTGGGGCTGGAGAGATAGTACAGTGGGTTGGGTGTTTGACTTGCACATCATGGACAGGGTTTTGATCCCTGGCATCCCATGTCGTCCCCAGAACACCAGGAGTAATTCCTGAGCATCACTGGGTGTGGCCCAAAAACAAAGAGAAAAAGAGTCAACTAAACAGTGAAATCCTTACATCCCCTCTCTCTGCGTTCCCTGTGCTGCCCTGGTGTTCCCCTAGGAAAGTCACATCCTCCACCGAGCCCAAGAGCCACCCCAGAGTGATACTTGCCAGGAAATTCTCGGAAGAGGGTTGTGGGAAACCAGACTGTCATTGGGGCTCAGATTACTTTTAGAATAGCAAGAATTGTTTTGGGGTTTTTTT